ATCCACCTATTGGACCGTTTGTTAAATTCTGTTCCCTTGAGTGCCACCTTTCTAGAAACACCGAAGGCAAGTTGTGCTGTGCGGTCCCAGGAAGAATAAACAAGGTGTTGGTCATTGAAATCCCCCCTTCCCTTACATTTATGCTATTTCCTTTCAGTATAACTACACGGGAATTTCAAAATCAAATGTAAATTAAACCAGAAACGATTCCACTTGATTTATTTTTAAATTGTTTTAAACCTATTCTCGTTGGTTTTGTATTTAAGTGTTGATCTCTATCGTTTCCATAGAAAACGCGAGCCTATCATCGTCTGGTGGATGATGTTTCGCCTACAGTTAAGCTACAACGATTGGAGCAGTTACGTCAACTTAATCGCCAGTCCAGTTTAAAATTTAATCAAGCCCAAATCGGCCGAGTACAATTGATCCTTATTGAAGGGGTAGGTTACTATTGCAATTTTAAATGTGTCACACTGCACCTGTGTATATGTGATAAATTCTCTTCAGCTATTTGTTTGCTCCGTACCATCGGTTGTCGATTGTGATCCCTAATGTTGTTCACATTTGACGAAATCTGACAGATATGAGAGCAACAGTGTGAGCATGTCGGCACAATTTAAAACCCTGGGGATCATGAGTATGACTTTGTACTATGTTGATTGTGCGTATATGTATATTGCATCACACATTATCGGTCGTGTGAGGCACGTGAATTTAGCTACGTCACGTGTGTCGTGTGAAATCCTGTTCCGAGAGATCGGTGTTAATGGATGAATATGTACGTATGTATGTACGCACATATACTATATGTTTTTAATTTGAGAGAAGCGAATTTGTGAACCCAGAGCAGCTGAGTAGATTGGAATAGATTCTTCTGTGCATACTGCGGGGATCAAGTGTTTAACAGGTTTAATAGGTTAACCACAGGCTTTTCAGCTTTGTAACTTCTTTATTTGTATTACGCTCCGTAGTGAGAAATCGCGTATACAACCATGCATATTAAGAAATATGTAACAATAGTATCTATGAGGGAAAAATAAGCGGCGTCACTTCACCAAGGATTTCACTTGCAATATCAACAAAACAATTCAACCTGTCGATTAAGTCCTTTTCGCTACACCATTTCTACAGCGTATATTCATATAATGAGCAGGATCCCAGAAACACCACCGGTTTCGTGGTCGTTGCCGCTCGTCAGGTTCTAGTACCCGGCAACCTTATACTAGATCATTCGTATACTTTGTACCCGAGAAATGCGTTGTCAACACAAATAACCAATTTGTAACTCGATTTATTTATTTGGACAACTGGTCCAACAGGTTCACCATAGAGCTAATTTGTTTGAACAGGTTAATCTATGAATCACATGTTTACTCTATGGCTGATAGCCTACACGAGAGTGGTGAACTATAATGTGAAACAATCTTACGGTAACCACGAACTGGGGCAACTCGCAACATTTAGAAATCCAATCCGAAAATTTGTTTCGCAATCATGCACATCAGTCTTACAAACCCATCCAAGAGCGCTATAGGTGTTTTCGAGAGACGAGCACGCAGAAAATTGGAATATCTACTTCCCGAGATAAAGTTGTAGAGAGCACAACAAGACCAGATTGTAGGATTTATGTCAGGGCAGATTTCGTTGCATCTCAACTGGCACAACACGGAAGAAAACTATGGTTTAAATTGTTGTACAGTACATCTGGTTACACAACAATAAGACATAGACGAACCGTCACACTTTTACCACTGCCAGTGTGGTGACAGCGTGACTGACAGTTCTTTTTGCACACACAAGCCAGGTCTGCATTTCCTGATTGCAACCGATTCCGTAAACTTAAGCAGCCGGGTTAGCATAAATGATCTCAAATCGGCTTGGTGACTTCGGACCATGATTCGTCATCAATAAATGTCTGGCGATAGATGACGCAGGCTGTTTGTGTGTTCAGTGTCCCGGGGGTTGATACTGGTGTAAATGTTATTGAGTGCGATAGTGGTGGGTGATGCGTGTTTGCGTGGGTTTGAGAGGTCAAATTTGCGCATGACCTTTGATCATGATGTGATTCGATGAAGCGGCGTCTAACCCAATATGGGATCTGCTCCTCGATTCGTGTAAGCAACTGTTTATCTGTTCTGCCAATGTGAGATGCTCCGCATCCACGTTCAAACTGGTAACACAGAAAGTGTATTGCATGAGTTACACCGAACCGTTAGATTGCGCACATAACAATTGAGCGTGCACAATGTTGTCCGGAAATATGATTATTGGATTTCCATTACCCCACGATTTGTTTTCGTAATCACCAGTTTGTTTTGCACATTTGATGTGTGTTGCTCGCAACAGTTTGTTGAACTATCCTGCCCTAACAAAAACCGCCGTTTATCCCTCTTTCTGCTCACTCTCTCTCTCTCTCTCCCTATATATATATATATATATATATATATATATATATATATATATATATATNTTTCTCCCGTACGGGAATTTCGCATTCAGCAAAGTCGTCGATCCCCGGATTTCGTTTACGGACGAAACGATTTCAATATCAAAGTGATTGTTCCGAGAACAGCCACTCCACTCAGTGTTGCTGCTGCCACTGATGATGATCCAAACATGTTGTCACCTGTCACACTTCAACCGGGGAATTATTGTGCCGTTCAGGTAATGCACATTATCTGTCAGGTAGTGTGTGCTGATATGACGTTTTTTCAGCAACTTAGGGGTCCTAGTTACGACATGGCTAAGTATTTGACAGTAGCATGTGTTGCTTTCTGCCCGGGTCCCGGGTTCGACCTCCAGATTGGTCAAACTCTGAATGTCACAATTATAGAGATTAGACAACAGTCTGTCGTCATTATTATGATCAAATGCTTCAAAATACCTGCTTGAAGACGGTTATCTGTTTGTTTTTTCATTGCTCTTCGAACAGAAGCAAATTAGTACTGCGCAATCGTTTGTTTATCAAAAACCCATTACTGAAATGGAAATAACGCGGTGTGCTTTTTCCAAATAAGCCATCACAAAGTCTGCACCAGTAAATGCCGTTAATTTTTGCAATAGAAGAAGAAAAGTGACTCGATTGTTGTTAATCATCTCTTTGGGACAGTCGCCCTTGCATAAATAGGTGAAAGTACTCCTCCGTCTCTATCACAGTGATGAAGTGCAGTCTTGTTGTATTTTCGTTGAACTACTTCGCCGAACAGCTCAACTTTCTGACGTGCCAGAGTATCAAACGGTTGTATTTGATCTTTGTTGTCTATGCCTGGCAATGAATTTCTTTTCAAACCCAGTGTCTGTGACTTTATCTTTTCTGAAGAAAAAAACATAACTGGTCTCTATTTGAGGTGGAATGTGATCGACCATCGGAGTAAGGTTGGAGCCCTAAGCTAGCTGACGCCATGAATACCCGAGCTTATTGATTTTCGAGCATTTCAGCTGCCTCTGTCGTGTCTGAAACACCTGCCAAATGTATCATGGAGCCGCAGCTCTGTCGGGTTGAAAATTCAATTGACGGTTGCATATTTACTAGGAAGGCAAAGGAGTATTATAACATCTAATCTCATAAATGATGCTTTCATCCGTCTTTGACTATCTATCTAGTTGCCATTTCGCACGATGTAGCCAATTCGTTTTCTTCTCGTCGAAATTAAACAGTGATTTATCTGTACTCTTTAATTAAACCAAACGTTAGCTATCTCTTTAGTTATATCGAACTCTTGGCCGCTTTCCGACTGGAACTGTAGAAGTTATCTGTTGTTGCCTT